TATCTATCTATCTATCTATCTATCTATCTATCTATCTATCTATCTATCTATCTATCTATCTATCTATCTATCTATCTATCTGTCTGTCTGTCTGTCTGTCTGTCTGTCTGTCTGTCTGTCTGTCTGTCTATCTGTCTGTCTGTCTGTCTGTCTGTCTGTCTGTCTGTCTGTCTATATATAAATATAAATGTGTGTGTATATATATATATATATATATATATATATATATATATATATATATATATATATATATATATATATACTCTTTGTTCAGCACCTCATCTTGACAGTAAAAAACAAAAATAAATTTTGTTCAGTACGGCTCTCAAGACATTTGTGGGGGAAAAAAACTGTTGTGGAATCTGCTGGACCTGCATTGGATGCTTTGAAGTCTCTCTCCAGAGGGCAGTAGGGAGAACAGTCCATGGTGGGGTGTAAGGGGTCATTTTTGATGTTAGCCCTGGGATGAAATGTCTTTTATGGAGGGAAGAGGAGCACCGATGATCTTCTCTGCAGTTCTCACCACACTTCTCATCTTCTTCCGGTCTGAGGCGCTGCAGCCTCCACATTACACAGCAAGACAGCTGGTCAGAACGCTCTCTATGGTGCTTCTGTGGAAGGTGGTGAGGATGGGTGGGATGGGGGCCGGTTCTTCCTGAAGTCGACAATGATCTCCTTCGTCTTCTCCACATTCAGAAATAGGCTGTTATCTCTTCACCAGCCAGCAGCTGCTCCACCTCCTCTCTGTAGTTCTTCTCGTTGTCTTCTCTGATGAGGCCCACAACCGTGGTGTCGTCTGTCCCCTTCCCGATGTGATTGGTGGTGAACCTGGGGACCCAGTCGTGTGTCATCATGGTGAACAGCAGGGGGCTCAGGATGCAGCCCTGAGGGGAACCTGTGCTTAGGGTGATGTACAAAGATATCCTAGTAGAAGACCTCTTCCAGATTGGTCAGGACCTCAGACTGGGCCCAAGGTTCATCTTCCAACAAGACAATGCCCCTAAGAACACAACTAAAATAACAAAGGAGTGGCTTGGGAACAACTCTGTGACCATTCTTGACTGGCCCTGCCGGAGCCCTGACCTAAACCCAACCTGATAGAACTGGAGAGGGTCTGCAAGGAAAAATGGCAGAGGATCCCCAAATCCAGGTGTGGAAAAACTTGTTGCATCATTCCCAAGACGACTCATGGCTGTACTAAATCAAAGGGTGCTTCTACCTAATACTGAGCAAAGGGTCTGAATACCTATGACAATGTGATATTTCTTAGACTTAGACAACTTTTATTGTGTTTTTTTTTAGAGTGTATGTATACAATAAGACATTTCATTTTGTAGAGCTTTTCAGACTGTAAATGAACATTTCCAAAGTGCAGCAGTGATCAAGTGTAAACAGCGTAGGAGAAAAACCATGGTGCAAAAAACGCATAGACAAAAATAAATGCAAAAAAATGCAAAAACTTCAGCTTTTCTTTTTTAATAAATTGACCTCAGTTTCTACATTTCTGTTTTTTTCTGTCAAGATGGGGTGCTGAGTGTACATTAATAATAAATAAAATAAACTTTATTGATTTTAGCAAATGGCTGGAATGAAACAAAGAGTGAAAAGTGGTCTGAATACTATCCGTACCCACTGTAGAGAGTTTAAATGGAGAAATGTCGCCCCCTTCTGTTCTGTTCTGAAAGTTTCTGATAAGCACAAACATTCACACGTGCCAATGTCTTTATAACCCTTTTGTTTTCTGCAAAATCACATTACTTCCTCACAAATAAAATGGAAAATTATATCAACATATAAATCTATATCTTAAATTGCATCCAATTGTCTTCTTTGATTCTAAGGATCAGTTATATTTTATATTTATTAGAACACTGAACTATATGTATGAGTGAAAAGATGGATGAACACGTTTTTGATTGTTTGATTACCATTTCCCTTTTCATTCTAAAAAATTGGAATGTCTTAATGTCTCATGCATCTCAAACTTTCTCTTAAACAAATCATAAATAAAGCCATAGTGTGTGTCAGCCTAATATATTCATGAAAATACTCTGATAAAAGTTTATTAAAATAGTCCATTGTGTTGTGAAAGTATTGAGTGTATTAATTATATTAATTCACGTTTTGGCTTATTATTTGAATTTTATCCAAGCTTTTATTATTTTAGCTGTGTGAAGCAAACCCATGCAGCGGCCTCCAAAAGCATCCATACCTTTTGACCTTTTTTGTATTTTGTAATTTTAAAACTACAAGCCTCTGATAAAGCGAAAGCAAAAGGTAACCAACTGAGGGAACAAGACCAGTATTTTTTGTTTTGCTCTACTTCCAAAACACTAAGCCGCTTTGAATGAAATTACAATCAACATCTACCTAAAGATACAATTTTACACTCTGACTCATTGATATTGATGCTGGGGCACATATTTTTCTCAACATCCTGGATGAAAACATCCCAGAGGTTGAATGAGATAAAAAAAAAAAAAAAAAAGATCCACCCATGACATGGCTTAAATGGAAACATGTATACTCAGACTTACACATAAAACTTATTTATTATTATTTATCCCTTGGGATTACTCCTTCGGGGAAATTCAGGATCTAGTAGTTTATAGTACAAAAGTACAAAAGCAAGATGCCTGTTGGAGCTATCTATTGTTGATTTCTTTATCCATTTGAATTGTGTTAATTCCTAAATGTATATTTTTTATATTATTTACAAAATTTATTTGCAGGTTAATAATTGTTAATTCTATTTATCTTTGTTTCATTATTTTTCTTATTTATTTATTTTTTGTTCTGAGGTATGACAGGAAGTGATGTGGATCATTCCACTTTCTATAAGTGTAGGGGCCTGAGAAAGGACCAGCAGGCATTTTGGGTTTAGAGCCTATGGTTTTTACCAGTGCAAGAGAGGTGGGACAACAGAAAAAATTGTACTCTTTAATTGTTGGCAAAAATAGAAAATAAACTATCCAGAACCATCATCAAGACCATTCAAATTTCTTTTGCCTGCATATAGAAACTTGACCCCAGTGCCTTAGTAGTGGCTTAATTGGAACTTTAATTGGATGTTTGGCTATATTGCCATTAAAGATGACCAAGGAGGTGGGTGTTGACCCTTGTCCCCATAGATATCCTATCACCTCCTCCTTCCCCCAAGTGAGGAGTTGCACACCTTGATGGCTTGAGGAACAAAGGAGTTCAGCAGTCTGTTGGTCCTACATTTGGGGAGGAGAAATCGCCCACTCATCAGGATGTTGTATTTGATAGAATGGCCCAATCAAAGTCCAGCTTGAATTACATTTCTAATCTGAGATTAAGTCTTCAATATCTAAAGGTTATGGAAAACATATTCTCAAAACGCCTGCAGCCAATGGCGTAACGGCATAACAATAGGCCCGTAAGCAACATTATCTGGGTGGGCCCCATATGAAGTATAACACCCCTATGGTTTTAATCTAAGCTCTGGATTACCCATAATTCCAAGTCGTAGTGTAAAAAATAAAATTAGATCATTATTGCGGTTTGAAGCATATTATATGAGTGTATTTTTTTGCCAATCATCTAATGAACTATACACAGTTATTAGCATAGTAATTAACAGCACCACTGTCTGCTTTGTTATTGGTGTCGTGTTTAAACGGCTCACCATCATGTTGAAATCTGCCATGTGTTGGAGTATAAGTAAGAATAAGGTTTGGCCAGTAAACCTAGTATCAGGTGGATTTAAGATACATTTTTCACACCGTTACATCTGCAAGGACACGTCCTTGTCCACAATTGTGCAGGCGACCAACCAGGTGTCAGCGACGGGGCCCCTAAGAAGCCGGGGGCCCCTAAGCAACTGCAATCTCTGCTTCTTTTTTTTTTCCACAAAAAAAAGATACTTTATTTGACCAATGTACATTACACCAGGTCAGAACTGCATTAATTGCATTCACAGAAAGTGCATAAAGCATATCTTAATACAGAAGAAAAACAAATATAAACAGAGAGGGGACAATAATAATGGTAGAAATAATAATAATAATAATAATAATAATAATAATAATAATAATAATAATAATAATAATAATAATAATANTCTATTTATCTTTGTTTCATTATTTTTCTTATTTATTTATTTTTTGTTCTGAGGTATGACAGGAAGTGATGTGGATCATTCCACTTTCTATAGGGGCCTGGGAAAGGACCAGCAGGCATTTATGGTTTAGACCCTATGGTTTTTACCAGTGCAAGAGGGGTGGGACAACAGAAAAAATTGTACTCTTTAATTGTTGGCAAAAATAGAAAATAAACCATCCAGAACCATCATCAAGAACATTGAAATGTATTTAATTGAATTCCTTTACATTGAATCCACATCAGAAAATCAAGCCAAAAGCTTTGGACTATAATGCAATCAAAGAACAGGTGTTCCAGACTTTCACTTTCAACCTCACAAAAACAACAGTTTTCCATGTAACTGCCATCTTTACTTACAGATAGTAAATAGAGAGACACTCTAACCAGTGAACAACAGCGCCCTCAGCTGGTAAACCAGTATATTCCAGGCAGGTAACACCCGTCCCCATAGATACAGGCTCCTACAACAGCTCTCCTCTAGCACCGGTAGTCCGCTGACTTCTCCGGGCAATGACAGCTCCTGCATGAAGCAGCTAATGTTTACACTTTCAATTTCCCACCAGAACGTTCTACCGGATGGTTGCTAAACAGGCTATTCTTCATCATTGGATTAACGGACATCCAGCGACTGCTTCGCTCCGACAGGCCGGAGATTTGTGTCGCTGGACAGGGAGGAGTCTCCGTTATTCCACCGTTGGCTGGAGGATCCAGGCCCAGCATGTCTGCTTTTTAATATTACAGCTACCTGCAGAGCCGAGGCTATACACAAGGACGCAAATGCGCTCTTAGAAGTGAGTCTCTATTTATAAAAAATATTGATTATATAGGATAACACACTGTCTATTCTTTGCTAAATGAATTTATTTATTTATTTATTTATTTATTTATTTATTTATTTATTTATTTATTTATTCTGGCATTAGAACCTCTGTTCCTTATTGTTCAAAAGTGATGGGTTATAAATAAGAGCTGTCAATGATCTGCAGACTTCAGCATGACACATCACCATCTGATTATCACTGCATTAAAGCGTTTACTTATGAGGAGTGAGATAGAGGAGGCGAGCCTGGAAGATCTATATTATTTTATTTCATTTGATTTTATTTTACATCACCAAGCAGGTGAAGCAGGCCCTGCTTGTTTTGTTCTCTGGTGATGTAATGCTCTTTGCCTCCACTAGCTGGGAGATCTTTGTGTCTCTGCCTGCAGGATGGATGTGAGTGCTGGCAGGGACAGCACCTGGAGGAGAACAGCACGAGCTGAAGATGAGGAGGATGGAGGAGGAGCAGGAGGAGGAGGCATGGAGGCTCAGGTTGTACCACTGGAGCTCTACGATTGTGCCAGGTCCAAAATAGAAGCTAACCTACGCTGGTTGTTTGCTAAAGCCTACGGCATAGGTAAGGATCTCTCCTCCCTCTGTTCTTCCCTGCACACACTCTTGAGCAATTATTTAATCAGACATTTCTCTCTTGATGTGTACAGAAAAAAGAAAAGAAAATATGTTTGCATCTCTGTATGTTCCTGGGGCCCCCATAAAACATGTATAGTTAATACAACTATTCCTTATTTGTGCAGATTAATGACGTTTTTGATAAAAAAAAATAATTTCGCTGAAATGCCATTAGAATGATTATAATATTAAGTGTGTCTCAGTGCCAAATCTAGCTACTTTTTCTGCTTTTGGAGACCAAGCAACGACATATAAAGCATCGAACTCTGCTCTCTAGAGCAAGTAGATTGGTAACCCCGCCTCCTGCTCTCCTCTATCTTGTCTGCTGTCATGATTCATGCAGCTATTATTTCATACAAATGAAAAATGGAGAACAGATAAGCAGATCATGGCTTGTCTACAGTGAAAAGAAGGACTGGGTTATTTACTTTTGCTGTCGCCTTTTTGGAAACACAGGGAGGAGCAATCAGTTAGTGAGTGTAGTGATTGGGAAAAAAATCCTTCATTCCTTTCGAGACAGCATGAAAAGTCAGCTGTGAACAAAACATAGAGAGGAAAACAACAAGAAAAACGACAACAAAACGTAGAACAAATAATGTATGTCTATTCTATTCAAATTTCTGTATCTGTATAATGGGTCGGTTTTATGTGTTGTTTTCTCAATTCAGAGGTCCCCTGCCTGTCTTTGCCTAGGGCCCGACATTTTCTAAGTCCACCCCTTTGTATGTTACAAGAACATAAGGGAGTGATGTCTCAACTGTAAATCCTAAAAGTTATTCATTTTGATTTCATGTACACACAGGTGCCCCATTCATTTTAATGCCTGTTAATTAATCCAGAGTAGAACAGTGTTTTTCAGAAGGGTCGAGGAAACTTTGTCTAAAATTATTATATTGAGGATGGATGGAGTTATGCACAATGAAATCCTGAAATAAAACGTTTTTAAAGCTGCAAAATGTTTGATACTGGGATTTAACTTTCCAGCAGGACTTGTAGATCCAACAGTAAAGGAAGGGTTTTAATTAAAGTATGTATGCATGCAAACACTGTCCACTGAAATTCAATACTTAGATGCCATAAAGAATGGGAAGGAATAGTTTAAAAATGATGTCTGCACACATCAATCAATCAATTGATCCAACACATTTTGTATTTCTGCTTCAGTAAAGGGATTTGCTATCAGCTAAAATGATTAAACTTCCCTAATTTGCTATGTGAATTAAAACCATGCAGTTTGTAGATGATTTAGAGTGAAAAGAAAAATAGATTTGGAATAGAAAACATGAAATAAGCAGAACCCAAATGCAGCAGATTAAACCTTTTTCTGCTGCTGCATTAATCTTTGATAACCTGAATAGTTTTGCTGTTTTTGAGAAGTTATTTTTTGTTTCACATATAAACAGGTCAAGCTTGTGCATCTACCAGCTGCTAAAGTTCAAGGCTTCAGAGCCTTAGCTGACCTTTTCTGATAATATTACCTTCAGGGTTTAGATTATTATATTTTCCATCAGATTTATGCTGCTCCAAAAAGTATTCAGCTGAGTAAAATAATAATAAAAACCATAATTCAGACTTTTAGAGACTAATTTTAGTCATTTACAGCTGGGAGTATCACTCTGCTTTAACTATGTTTGGTTACTCTAAGGATATTTATAAAGGAAATCCCAAAAGTACATCTTTTTTTTTATTTTATTTGGATGTGCTGGTCTGATTTGTACTGATTTTTGTCTGTCTTCGCTCCAACTGTGTCCTGAGATCTCCTCTATGGTTTAAATGCTTTATGGGTTAATTTGTGAATCAATGCCTTCTCTTACTCTGAATGTAGACAGACGGCTCTGTGTTTCTCCTCAGTGAAGGGCTGCTGACCTGTCCAAACTGTAGCCCTGTGTCTGCTGATTTTAGGTTTAATAATTAAGGTCATGAAAAACATCATTAAAAAAAAATTTGCACATTACTGTGGCCAAATCTTTAAATAAATTATTCTTTTTAAATCAAATATAATAACGTGTTTTTGCAGAATTTATTACTCATCAAAGTCAACTTTTATTTTAGTTTTTTTAGCTTCCTCTTGAATAACAAAAACAAGTTTTTTGACTAAAAAACTAACAAAACAGAAAAAAAAACAGTGACAGCAGTTTTTCAAATCTTCAGCTTAGACACTGAGAAGTCAGCCTACGTCTCCTCCTTTAATAGAGAGGTCAGTAACATTGCTGGATCTAAATGAGACTACTGAAATATACAGATTACAGTGCCGTGCTGGTTAGTAGATGTCTGGAAATGAATACTGTTATGTGGGTTTCTGTGCCACTCGCTGTTTGCTCGCCATGGACTCTGAGGACTAGGTCAGTGCTGCTTTTTACACGCCCCAGCAGGACAGTGTTGGATTGGGAAGCAGATGCTAAGGCTGTCCTCATGTTACAGAAAAGTTGCTGTAGTTTATGACTCAGCCATAACAGACACAATCTTTTCCCACTGGAATCCTGCTTAGGAGAGCTCAGCAATTTGGCTGCTATTTGCAATTTTTTCCCCCCGTCTAGGTAATGAAGGGCACTCATAAGTGTTAATATTTGCTAAAAGACAGAATAGTCAGAGCCATTTTTTTTTCTACTTTCTTTAAAGTCAGAACTTTGTAAACCTTTCCTGCTTAATAGGGCCGCATTTAAACATTTAAGTATCCTTCTCCAAACTTCTCAGGATACTTTACTGTAAATTGGATCTGTCCTTTCTGAAAGAACCAGTGGAACCCGAGTCGGATTTTTAGGCTGCCTTATTCACGCACCATTTCAGATGTGCTCATGATCTTCCTGTGAGACAAAAAGAATGATTCTTCAAATAGTTACCTGAAAAAATGTTGCATTTTAGGCACTTTTTTATTAATGTGGTGAGATGCTTAGGATCATTGCACCATTATCTTCCTGGATGGTGTCTTCAAATGTTGCTCCAATATTTCCGTATAATATTCTTTCCTTGTTCTGCCATCCATGTTGGGAAGTGCTCCAGTCCATCCTGGCATAAAAGAACCACACAACATGACACTGCCTACTTCATACTTTTTTTTTTGTCAGGCGTGCAAGCTTCCCCTAAATTTAACTATACCCTTTACAGAAAAACACTTGTGAACAGACTAAAGGAGATGAATCCATTTTTTATTATTTTGTGCATTTGCAAACTTTATGTTGTTTTTACTGTGGCTTTTGGAACAACGACCAGTTTCTCTCTGAGAGGCTGTTCAGGGATTTTTATCTCTAGCATAGAATTATTTCTTCCTGAACTTTCTAATTACTTGAAAGTGTTTAAAAAGATGAAAGTGGTTTCTGTAGGCATTTGAAATCGAACAGAATCAATAATCTGACTTGTGTTGTGGTTTCTTTCTTGTTTTATTAATTTCCAGTGTTTGCAGTGTTATTATTAAATTGCTTCCAGAGGAGTTCCTCTGGTGATCTCATGATGTACCAAAGCTATGACATCATCATTTGGGATTAGCTGCACCATTTAAAGCCATAGATCACTTCTGTTCAGTTTCTTAGTCCTTGATTATTTGACAAGCTTTTAGAGTTCAAAGAATACAATGGAGTAATATTATTTTAATCTAAATTTTAATTCACCTTTTTATTTCGTTACTCATTCTAAATCCAGTTCTGAGGCGTGTTTGAGATTCATAAAACCGTTTGATTGTTTAAGGTATAGTGGAGGAAGATTTCCGAGTGGATCATCAAAATAAGTGGTCCACCAGTGGTCAATCATACTGGTGATATGTTTCTGCAAGGTCGTCCTATGTGCTCGTCCCCATTTTAACTTACCGGTAGTGAGTCTGACATAGTGGAAAAATTGCAAATCTTCTTTTGGAAAGTAAGCTTGTATGAGCGATGCAAACAGCAACTTTAAAAAAGAGCGTGCACAAGGAGAAATGGACTAGAAAAATAAACCTGGTTGGACTTGTTTAATTTGATCAAATTGAACATATTTCTGGTTGCGTAGGGTAGAGTTTAGGACATATCAGCTTTAAATGCAAACCTCAACATAAATGCAGGGGTGTTAGGAGGACTGTCTTTGTTTTAATCTGGTGTGAAAGTCAGAGTCAGCCAGTCACATGTTTAAGTGTTTAATGGGATTGGACCTGAAGGCTTGTGTTCTGTTCAACAAAGCCTTCTTGTTTACACTCATAACATGCTAATTCCCGCCCAATGGAGACATATTTTACTAGATTATGTACCAGAAGTTTTTTTTTTATCCAATTTTGATTCTAAAGCTTTTTTATTAATAATTTTCTAATGTAAAAAAATTATTCCATGATAATGTAAAAAAACACACAAAAAAAAAACTGTATCAGAGGTGCTACATGTTTATAATTTTTCTAATATTAAGTACCTTTCTCCAGAGGTACACCTAATTTAAATTGAAAAAGCTGCTAGGTTGGCTTTAGGCCTGCTAGGTAAAACCTTTAGACGTGTCCACGTGTGCATTGTAAGGATTGTGTTTTTTCAGCATGCCCTCTTCTTCATTAAGCTGTCTTACTGGAATCGAAGAGCTGCATCATTCTGCTTCATTGCCCAGAGTCTGAAAGCCCTGCATCATCCGTTGGTAAGATGTTTGTGTCCTGCCTGAGACAGCGCGTGAACTGGAACAAAGACTCTCCTTATATAAAGCCACACAAAGACAACCTTTCTTAATTCCCCTCACACACGCTCACCAGGGTGGGCTGTGATGCTTCGATCAGATCGGTCGATATCGATCAGCAAGGATTAGAGCAGAACTGCACACAAACACACTTCCTAAAGTCACAGACCGTAAAAAGGATGAAATGAGAAGAAGATGGGACAGCATCCCAGCCCCCACTATTAGCCATGCTGACATTTCTCCCCTCATCAACCATCACCACGGCAACCAAGAAAGGACAAGGGGACATTTAGGGTAGCTGAGGCTGAGGCAGAGTGGAGCTGGAGCAAACCTAGGCAGACTTAATCAAACCTGATGTAGTGTGCAAAGAGCATTTTATATACAGGGTCTTGGATACTCATATGTACAACTATATCAGCTCTGAGCAAGAAGGAAAGTGTGGTGTTTACCGTGTCCAGCATGCAGTGGGTTGATAAAGGCACAGATTTCTGTTATTTAGGTCCACCCTTGCTGTGCTTTTGTTGTTCACTGAGTTTTGTTTTCATATGGGTAGTTAATCATATACATACTTGTGAAGACAAATATTATCCATTTTATTCTTTTGGTAGCTGAACTTATTTTCCTTGTTTGTCAATTTTTTGGCTTTTGGTTACACAAGAAAACAGTAATATAACAAAAAGCTTTGAGTCAAAATAAGATATTTCCAATGAAACTGCTGCGATTTTTATATAAAGCTGTTTGCATTGTTCATTACAAATGTAAATTGACCAAATGACAGTTTATGTGTCTAATTCTCAAACCAGACATATGTTCTTACATGCTCCTGCTCGTATAGCAATTGTTCTAACAACAGCGTAAATTGTGTTCAGATGTGGTGTAGGAGACAGAGGAAATTATTGACTTATAGAAAACATAAAATAAAATGTCTTCTCTATTAACAAAAACTGTCTGTATTAAATAGGAATAATGTTCAGAGTGTTGTTTCTCTCTTTTTGCTGTAAAAGGGCCACTCAATGCACCGCTACATATAAACTTTAAAAGCAATGTGTTTTTTTTCTCCAGTATATAGCTGTCACTCAATTAAGAGTAAAAGAGTATTAGTTAAAAAAGCTACTTAAGCAATGAGTAACTGAGGATAACTCTGCAATTAATGTAAAAAAAAAGACCAAACAGACAAAAATATAAAATTATGTGCATTAAAATCTATTTAGAAAAAAACATACAAAAGTTATTACAAAACAGCAGCTTCTGACAAAAAAACATAATCCATAAAAAACATAACATTTCCCAACATAAAATGCATAAAATTAATAGATTTACATATGTCAGAAAAAAATAAAGTACCTCTAGTGACAAATATTTACCCTGACCTCCAAATGGCACAGCAAGCTCAGTTGATATAAACAATGTTAAAATTGTCAAATGTGTGACAGGAAAGACATCTTGCTCTTTAATATGATCTGCTTTGAGATTCACTTCCTGCTTAGAGCCAAAAGGAAGCAGCTGGTCTGCCCGTGTTCAGACTTGAAAAATGAACACAGTGCTCTTTGTTTTATTTGTGCAAAGAAAAAAAATTCTTAAAGCATGTTATTGTGCTGAAAAACCTTTTTTGGTTTTAAAGACAATTTAAATTGGCCTGGGTTTCTATTATTGATCAATAAAACACATGTTACGCTGAAGCAGTCTTGAGTCCTATATATCACCTCATTTGATTCACTGTTTAAATCAAATGTATTTTGCTGATAGTAGAAGGTTTGTCTCTATTTTTTTGCTTGACAAGAACAGCTCTGTTCTTGTCACCGCTGCTCTGCATCAGAACCGAACGTGCTGGAAGCTAAAGATCCTGCAGCCTCTAAATCTGGATTAACAAGTCTAAGAATATAAAAATAACCACCTAACGTGTGTGTCCATGAGCAGGAAAACACCAGCTTAAACATCGGTCCTAAGTCTGTTAACTCATTGACTTACAACCTGACATGTTCAGCATCTGAGTTTGCCCTAGGGCTGTGTTTATTCCTCTCCAGACAGTCTAATTCCTCTTCAGTCTGTGTGCTGTGTTGTTATGTAACATGGTGAAAAGGAAAAACTTATGTGGGTGATGGGGCAAACTGTTAGGATATTTATTGCAAACATATATCTTTCTTTACATTATATTAAAGAAAAAAACCCAGACAAAGCATTCTGTAAAAAAACAAAAAAGAAAAACAATAAAAGCTGTCATTGGCATTCCGTTTTACAGATAACATCCCTACAGATCTTCGGGATCCATTTTATACAGACCAGTATGAGCAGGAGCACATCAAGCCCCCCATCATCAACCTGCTGCTGTCTGGAGAGCTCTACAGCCGAGTGTGTGGGCTCATCCTTCCAGCTGAACAGGCCGCCTCCCTGCAAAGCCACCAGTCTGTCATCAAAGCCCTCTCTAGGAAAGGAATCTATGTCTTGGAGACCAACAACACGCCAGTGTCTGATCGGGATCTCAGCTCCTCTCCTATTAAAATGGTTGGTAATTCATTCTGACTCTGTCAAAAGCGCAAACAAAACAAAAACTGCAACTGCTAAAACCAGCCAAAGAAACAACCTTTTAGAGACACTTTTGCTAACTTAATTTGTCCAATTATGTATTAAATAATGAAAAGTTTAGCACACATCTAAAAGGTCCCGTGGAGCATCTAGTTAAAAAGGTCCTTAAAAAGAAACGGCTGAAATTCATTCAGAGGTTCTAAACAATACTAAAAAGTCTCTATAAGAATAATTCTTTACTGAAGTGTTTTAAAAGCTTCTTAAACAGGAACCATGTCTCTCCCAGTGGGTGAGTCTGAAACCTGCTGCTCCATAGGTCCTTTGTGGCTCCAACAGAACCAAACAAGGAATTTGAATTATAGAGACAACAAGTAGTCGCTCATTAGCAGCACTAATGAACATTCCTGCTGGTCATTCGGATTGTGAGCCACTGATTGTATACAAATTCAAAGTGCTATAAAAGTGATGTAAAACTTATTCAGTTGATTTAAAGATCCAAAGTGGTGTATTAATCAGACATTCATTAGAATATGTGTTTTTTTAGTCCAATAATACACTGAAAATAGTGAAATAATTTCCTTTTTTATGTAGGTCAAACTCCACATTCAGCTATTGGAAGTCAATCATTTAAAATCAGATCTGACAGTTTTGGTGGTTTTTGAGTCTGATAATATAAGAAACCAACTATCAAATAATTATTAGGCTCAATGTGCAACATGGTTATTTATGGGGATTCTGTCCACAGTGAGGTTGTTTAACCCTCTCCCACAGTGGGGTAAATACATGATCATAGCATCATAGCTTTTCTTTGTACTTCTTTGTACTCAGAATTCCCACGTCCACCTGATCGATGCTCTGATGATGGCCTATACGGCAGGAATGATCAGCACAGAGAAGGTGGTGTCGTCTGTGAAGCGATTTTCAAACATCACTGCCTCCAAGGAGCTTCCTTATGACCTGGAAGATGCTATGATCCTTTGGATTAACAAGGTTTTAACCAGGCAAATATGTTCAGGTTTTGGATTTTTTTTAACACTTTCAGCTTACTGTATTTATTATTTTCTTTCCCTTAGGTCAACATGAAGATGAAGGAGCTGACAGAAAAAGAGAGTAAAATGAAGCAGCACCTCATGGAGTCACCAGGTCACCATAAGGTATATGTTTTTTTGTTTTCTCATGTCACTCCACTGTTTAAAAAGGCTGAGTGTTGAATTGTGTCCTTATTCAGGAAGTTAAGTTGTGCTTTTTTTAATGTAATAGAACAAACATGGCATGTCACAAAGTAGGCATGCATTATGGACACCTTATATTAGTGTCTGGCAGCATGTGATTCCATGTGGTACTTTTATTCGTTGTGTAATTTGTTTTAAATCTGCTGCTTTGTGGTTGAAGTACCTCTAAACTCAGTGTGATTCAAGGCTCAGAACAGAGGACCCAGTATTCAAGGCCAGATAGGCATAAGGATTACTTCAAAAATGTTTCTTAATAAATCGGAACTGTAGTAACAGCAGCTAGGCATCTGAGGCAGGAAACTCTGGTTTAACAGTTCAGTCCATGCCCAGAGAAAACGGTAGGATCCAGGAGTCCAAAGCTGGGTCAGGAAGACAGATCAGAATAGGCAGGATCAAAGGTTCAGGAATCCAAAGCCAGGTCAGGCAAATAGATCAGGACTGAAACAGGCAGGTTCAGAGGTTGAGAGGCGGAACAAGTCAGGATCAGCTAATCAGAAACACTCAGGTAAAGCTAAAAACATTCACCATTGGCTAGAGAGAACAAGAATAATCTGGCCCCAATGACTGGGTGCAAGCACCTTAAGTAGAGGCAGGAGCAGGTGGATCATATGAGCAGTGATTAGAAACAGAGCAGAGTTGGACAGGTGAATTGGAATAAATAATTAAGCCAGTCATCAGTGCCAAGATCATGACAGTGTGACAGTAAAACAAACTGATTAGTAATGACATTTAACTTTCAGTATTTTATCTGCCTGTATTCTCATTCATTTACTCAGAATATCATTAAAACTGTCTTCCAAACTTTAGAATTGCTACTGACAAAACCTTTTATGGACAAAACTCTTTACAAGCATTTGCAGCCCTTATAAGGTGCAAAAACCTTGTAAGATAAAGTACAATTTCATTGCTTTATCAAGATTAAAGACTGAAAGAATTTGAAAAGTCAAAAGTGAAATTTTAATGCAGACAATCATTTTGGGGAGTGAAATATGTAATATGTAAAGGTATTTTTATTTAATTGAAAAAATAATCTTTACCATTTTCTGTTAAACAAATGCAAATATAGCATTTTATTAATTCTTTATTGATTTGATTTGAGGGATTAAGAACTTTTTATCTATTAATTACCGGTAATTACTTTTGCTTTTCTAGGGTATAGATATGAACTCAGAAAGTTCTCCACTACTGTTGGTACTTTTCCCCCTACAGTTATTCCTGTTGCTTTTGCACATTTTTTAAGCATACATTTTCCTTTGCCCTCACCATTTTTTTTTTTTTATAGTGCCCTGTCTGGTAATGTGGCAATAAGGATAATTGTCTTGATGCCAAAAAGAGCCCAACAGATTTACTTTTACAAGAGGAGCAGTAGGGCTATCGCCATAGTGCTCTGCTTGTTTTATGTATACAAATTGCTTTATTATAATTATGCAGGGAGTTTTTCAGATTATATGGACACTGTATGTAAGTAGATCCGGAAAGGAAAAACAGAAAAAAAAGGAGAAAAGATTAAAGAAAGAGGAGACAAAAGGGAGACAACGACAAAACATCCTCAGTCTGCTTCATCACCTGCAAAAAGACGCAAAAGGAACAGCACAACCAACAGACATGTTACGAGACATACATACAACAAAGTAACACCCAGATACCATCGCTGAAGTATAAGTAGTATTATTTAATCTGACATGTACTCTGTGTTACCTGAAGATAAGAATATGGGCTTTCTGTATGGAAGCCCTCGACTTTTCAGTAAAGTGTAACAGCCAGCCTATTTGATGTGATTTTTTGGCATCTTGTGGTCATGTCATGTCATGTTCTCATGAGTTTGTGGCAATGACACAACTTCACATCAAAACACAATGTAGAATTATGGGATTCTAATTTTGGGATTTTTGCCTATATTGTGAAATTGGTTACCTGTATTTGAAATAACATTGCCTGTGATTATTTTCAGTCTAATCATCGTCCGTATCCATTAGCATCAGACCTATCTCTTTTAGAGATAACTCTGATTTTGTGTCCTTTTATCTAAACCCTGACTTGTCTGCCACTCTTACTGTTTGTGTCCCTCTAATCCTTCTCCCTGTGTGCCTCTTGGAAAATAGTCCCCCTCCAAATGGTACTGGAAGCTGGTACCTGTAAGTGTAAAATGTTTCCTATATGTGTGAGTGTTTGCATGTCGTCTGAGTTGGTTTTGTGTATTTAAGTTTCTCACTTAAGCACTTACTTGGAAAGCTGAGTTAAAATAAGCTTTAAAAGGCTCTATGAAGGAGAAAACATAATAAATACAACACAACAGATACTGTTAGGTGTACAAAGAAGGTGACTGTGTGCCACCTAGTGGCAAAAGACGAAACCACCACTTCTTTCTCTGTTGGTCTGCTTTATTTTTAAGCCCCACAGCAATTCTATCTACATCCATTTTCCTCCATTACAATATCCTCAACCCAACTGTTACCATAAAGCAGCATGCATAGAGTCCAGTTTCAGACGGCTCCACATGCCCACCCACTGCTTGTTTCATTTCATTGTTAACTTCCACCCAATTATTTCTGTCTTCCCTCACCAGCCTGATTTATGGCATGCTCTGGCCTATTGTTTATTGGAGCCTCTGGAGTTCCCTCGCGTGGTAATGTACTCATCATTGACCCCTTTTTGTTTATTTTTCACCTTGGATTGTCTCTCCCTTTTATCTCCATTAACCCTAAATGTGGTTTTTTAGTTATTCATCTTTAAAACGAAATACTGCTGACATGATGCCAGTTCTCATAGGTGAAGGCTGATTAGTTTTTACCTGCCAAAATGACAAAACCCAGAGTGAATTGATATAATACAAAATATGAGTTTTTTTTATAAACGGTTCAGAACCACCTGGAGAAAGGAACTCCACTGTATGCATGTTAAAGTGAGGGAGCAGAGTTTTCAGAAAGTTGGAAATGTGCTTATGTGTGAAACGTGGACCTCTGGCTTTCTGTTTGTTTAGATAAGGTTGTCTTTCTTCTGTTAACCTGGCTCCTCCTCCATTATGTAGGTACGGTACCGCAGAGATCATCTCTCAGGTCGCACTCTTCAGCACTTCCCCTTGTTGGAAGACTTATTGAAGGATGTGAGTGACGGCACAGCCCTGCTTGTTCTGATCCACTTCTATTGCCCGGATCTTATTAGACTTGAAGGTTAGATGTTTTATTTTTTCTTCTTTTTTTTTTTTTGACAAAATATTTGCTCATTTCTAGATTAGAAATTAAGTCATCACATGAAAAAACAGAAACATCCACATAGTAGGGGTGTAACAGTTCATATATTCATACCCAAGATACCCAGTAGAACCCAGTTGGTTCTGTACATACAGTAAGTTTATCAAACAGGTACAGTGTTGATTCTTACCTTAACACGTGTAACATGTTTATGTGCTGAACCCAAACAGATAAGACTCACAGCTTTATGTGAACTATTTATGCAATACAATATGAAGAAACCTCCTCGGCGAAAGGGGATTCTCGCTTAAAGCTGTGCATGCTGCATTCAAGTGCAGCTGGGACATAAGGTCGTTGAATTATCAAAACAGCTTAAACATGATTTAACAATGTTTTATTCTCAACTATTGGCATAGTTATATAAAACTCTAGAAATTAATATTATTTGTTTTCAGATTATTTGTGGTGTAATTTATCCATCCCGTCTTTGTAAAGCTTTTTCTTGCTGATTTATCTATCATTTTTTATAAATAAATTAGCTATAAATTATCTATAAAAACTATAAAAAAAGATCACACTAGATATTATGTTACCCCTTCACCAGAGAACTTTAAGTGTTTATCCTATTTCTAGAGGCACAGGCGATGAGTTAGGATTCACTGCAATATGGCTTCACTAATTTCAAACAAAGATTTGATATTTTGAAATATCTTTATTTTGTATATGCACAATTAACACAAATAGAATTTGTATTATTTGTTTTTAGAGAACAATCTTTTCATTCTTAAAATTTGGACACAAAGCACAAAATTGTTACCTGCTTCTCCCTGTTTAGAGCTGAGTAGTATAGCTGATTTTAAAAACATATGTAATAAACATTTTCTCTTCTAAATACCTTTAGTATGTCATATAAGATAATATAAATGTCTATAATAGGAAAAATAATTTTACTTAAAAGTAGACCATTTTTAATTATTGACAATTTTTGTCATGCTTATGTGCAGATATCTGCTTGAAGGAAGTTCCCTCCATAGCAGACAGCTTGTACAACATCCATCTGCTAAAAGAGTTTTCTGTTGAATATCTGAACCAGTGCTTCTATCTGAATCCAGAGGATCTTCTCTACTCACCACCTTTACTGAAGGTAAATTCGAAAAGTGTCATTGGAGTTACACTGGGCTGTAGTATAGATCTGGTTTGGCATTAACTAACTGACTGAAATGTAGACAGCCTCAGTGAAATATGCAGACTGTGAGATTTGTAGCTTCATGTAGCCTAAAAAAGTCACCTATTTTTTATTATTATTAAATGTTGTCTTGCAGAATAATGTGATGGTCTTCATTGCTGAGCTTTTCTGGTGGTTTGAGAATTTGAAGCCAGACTTTGTTCACCCCAGAGACCTTCAGGAGGTCAAAGATGGTAAAATTACTGTGTTGCATTATAGATTTTCTTAAAGGGCAACGCCGGTTCCAAATGGGCCAAATGAAAAAAAAACGGCGTTCCCCTTTAAGCTTACATAACTAATTTAGATGAAAGCTAATTAATATAAACAACTTTATTAACCTGTTGGTTTGTTTTGCTTTATAAATCTGTCTCTTTGTTTGTTTGCTTTTTCTAGTGAGAGTGCTGCTGCAGCCCAGAAATTCACGGTCTCATGTACCCATCTCAAATGTCACCAAACAAAGCTTCCTGCCAACGTCAAACTCAGCTGACATCTTCATCACAAACCACAGCAATGAGCCAAGGTATTAAGCAAAAATGCTGTCTATAATAAAATGCAACAGAAAAAAAACTCTTGTTCAAGATTGTAGTTCACTTCTGTTGCATGCTTTTTCTGGCTTTTTTGCATTATATTCTTTATCTTTACTAAGATAAAGGTTTATCATGCAAAATGAGTATGTAGTGTGAGATGTACATTTGTACGAGCTGTTCTTAATCGCCAAACATTTAGGACTAAACAACTGTACTGCTATTCAAGACACTAAAACAGAAATAAAATCAACTGATTTGTACAAATAGGTAAATTAGACATATAATGGATGGAAAATATGTTTTTATACTATCTCTGTAATTAATGATCTTAGATTTAATATTTATTACTGTTTTTTTTTTTTTTTGGTTTCAGCTCTAACTCACCGTCTAGCCCATCTCAGTCCTTACCGCCCCCTAGACGGAGACAAGAGAACGCTGTTGAGAGGGGCCCTTCAGGTAGTCCACGTCACATATTGGTGCACATTCTGTTGTCCCAAATATTGATAAAGATATATTTACTACGCACCAACAGCAGCAAAACATGAAGAAATAGGATGAATAAATCAAGACCTACAACTTTTATGAGTTTTAAAGATATTCCAAACAAATGTATTCAGCTCTTCCTTTCCAGGAAGGTGTTATTGTATTGTTTGAAAAAAATTACAAAGAAAAACATTAATGAAGACCAAAGAACTCACAGAACAGGTCATGGATCAACATGCCGAGAAGGATTAGGTTTTATCAAAGTATTTACAGCTATGAACACCACCGTGAAGCAATGTTCAATCTGTATTCTAAATATGAAAATGACAAGGATGGATTTAAACTGGAAAAAACTTGGAAGGGCTTCATAAGACTTTAGGTGTAGTTAGAGTTTCACCTCCCAGCAGGACAGCATCACTGAATGTACAGCCAGGGTTGCAATAGAGTGTAGAAAAAAAACTTGGATGAGACTTAAAGAGGCTTTACAGAGTTTTTTAATAATATTGCTACCTGTTGCCAAAACACAGAAATGCAGCAGTCTTCTGCTTATTCTGGAGGCACACGCTCATACTTAACAAGGTTCTTTTTTAGTTTTGTACCTCACTTGGAGTTTCCATTGGTGTCTTAGTTTAGCTGAATCCACAAAATAAATCTTTAATATACTGCTTTGATTGTCTGTTACGTCGGATACCTTTAACATGGACGTGCTTGACCATCCGAGAAACGGTGAGGGAACTTCCAACTGAAAGTAATTTCAGGAAAATGGGCTACAAGCTTATAGTTGCATCAGCACTGAACTACTGAGGTGTCAGTCTGATCTTCAAACAATGTTTTAGTCAAAATTTTTAAAAAGGCTATTTTAAAGATGTTTTCCATTAAAAACTTACATAATGTCTCTTTAAAAAAACTTTGAAAATGGAGGATTAGGTATTTTACAAAGACGAAGGGGTAAAAACTTAATCTTTGAGGTGCAACCCTGGCAAAGACATTCCCCGTAAGACTTTGTGCAAATTACAGCAAAAAGGTGATTTTAAAAAGCTTTGACTCTGCAGGATATGTATCCTTTTCTTCCACCTCATAGATGTGCACCAATTTGTGTTGATCTTACCAATACAAACCTGTTAAAAATTATCAACTCTGGTTGTATGGTGACAAAATGTAAACAAGTTTCAGCGGTCAGAATGCTTGTATTTTTGTTTTTGCCCCAAAAAAAAGGTTGCTAAAAACGTACAGTCTTTACGCACCTGACTTTTGTTCTTTTATATTTATTCGACTAACTACTTCTATGAAAAGTTATATTAGTGAGTTTGTTACACATTTCAGACCTGAACTTTTGATCAGATTTGAGTCCATCTTTTAAATCTGCTAAATTCCTAATAAGTGACTAGTGGTTTTGCAGATTTAACAAATATTTCTTTTAATATGATTAAGGTTTTGCTTCTCAAGATGTAAGAAACCGGCCAAACTCCACTGTGCAAACAGATGGACAGCGTCAAGACTCCATATTGGCATGGCCAGAAAGAAGGGCGAGGTGAGGCAATGATTACATCTGTTTAAAGGCATTTCTCGGTTTTAATTGTAAGTGAAAGTGGGTGTTGAAAACCAATTGCATGGTTTCAACCCATCATCTCACTCTTCTCTGCTTAGACCTTTGTCTCAGCCAATGCCGTATGCAGTGCATTTTGCCAAAGAAGATAATGAGGACAGCATTAGCCTCGCTCGGTCCATCAGCAAGGACAGTTTGGCCTCTAACATCATGAGCATGACCCCGAAACACAAGCTAGGATCAGTTCTGCCTCACAGACTCAGTGGCCAAAGCCTTCTCAGTCACATGCGCATAGAGGACGAAGAAGAGGAATTTGAGGAGGAGGAACTGGTTGCTGTCATTCATCCATCCAATCTTTCTCGACGTCGAATCGTGAGCGAAATGGAGCAGGATGAACTGGAAGCACAGATTGGACCGTCATTCAGCAGGGTTTCTGATGGCTCTCATGTTGCCCGTCAAGACTCAAGTCCATTTGCTCATGACCATCAGGCGGGAGGTTACTATCTGGAACCTTTAATACCAACTGTCCCAAAGCAAGCCAAGGAGAAGGGTATATCAGTGAACAAGCAGGAGGAAAGTGGGGAGAATCACTGCAGGGCAGTAGCAGCAGTGAAAAAAAACCCTACAAATATACCAAACTCCTCAAAAAGGAAGTTCCCCGTGGTTGATTCAGTACTCACTTCTCCCAGGCCCCCTGTCGAGGGGTCAGTTGATGCCCCCCAGTCTCCAGGCTTTTTTCTTCACTTGGGGGCTGAATCAGAAAAGCACACTCATATCTCAGCTGTCACAGAAGCAGGGCAAGACTCTGACTCCGACATTGCTGACCTCGAAGAAGACGATGAGGAGGACGACCAGACAGAGCTGGAGAAGACTTTGAGGGTGAATCGTTTAGACAAGAGCAACATCGATGAATTTGGAAATGGAGAAGTTGAGTCGGCAAAGCTTAGAGAGGACTTGAAGGTAAGCGAGCATGAGGATAAAGAAGATGCAAGCGGACGTTCAAGCCCTTGTCCCAGCACCGTGTCATGGGCGAGCAGCTGCAGCGCCTCGGGTAGCATAGGAGTCAAAATGACCAGCTTTGCAGAGAGAAAGCTTCTTAAACTTGGCCTTCGTGAGGGATACTCAAGTACAAGTAGCTCCCAAAAGACCACACCTGATGGGTCCGAGATTCCCCCTCCATGGCATGTGAAGGATTCTAATCCCATGTTGGGGAAGAATATAACTGCTGGCTCTTTTGTTCCCTCAGAGCTGCTTCAGCTTCACATGCAGCTGGAAGAGCAGAGACGTTCAATAGAATATCAGAAGAAGAAGATGGAAGCCCTGTCAGCTAAGCAGAGACTAAAGCTTGGAAAAGCTGCATTTTTGAACATTGTAAAGAAAGGTGGAGGAAGGAGTGACACACTTCCTTTACCCCTAAAAAAGCCCAAGGAGTCTACTGGATCAACATCTACAGAGAGGAGGAAAGCAAAGCCGCAGTCATGTAAAGATGATTTATGTCTCGATGCTCTGAAAAGTCAAACAGAGGGACGGCCGATAAACAGAGACAAGAGCTGGAACTCTCTTTCTCAGGATAACAGTCCTGAACCAGATTTCAATGAATGCTCCCACTCTATAGATCTACTCAATCAAGCTATCAGCTCTATCCAGCAACAGATGATGCAGCTTTCCTTGCAGCAAGATTTTCTGATGAAACAAAATGTGGTCTCACCACCAGAGCATGCACAAACAGATAAAAGCACAGACTCCGGGATAGATCCAAATACACCCCAAACAGTATCCTCTACCTCAGACTCTAAAGCCTTTGCAGCTCACTTTGTAGATATCGGTGGCAGTAGTTCGATGCCTTCCCGCCGTCCTCCCAAACTTACTTCCAGCCAACGAAACAAAGTAGAGCGCAAACAAATGAAAGAAAAAAGCAAACCGGCTTTAAGTAAGTCCAACGACCCGCTCCAGGTAATCACGACTTCTTCACGGGAATCTAATGATGAAGAACTGGAGACAGCCAGTGCTGCTGAAGTACAGAGCGTTCAGAGGGGTGCTACATTCAGAGTGCATGGAAGCACTGAAAAGGGAAGTGCGCACTCTCCAGGCAAACTAAAATCCCATAACTCGCAAGTTATGTTCAAGACATCTGAATCTGCATCACTGGAAGCAGAACAAGAGGTGGACCAAGCAGCCAACTACAGCAAACAGAATGACTGTGCCGATGAGAGCGCCAGGATCAAGAGTCAGCTGATCGAGGTGGACCTGTCAGAGCTAAAGGATACAGTGGAGGATGCCGGCGCAGATGTCCTAGAAAGCTCAGCAGAAGCTGAGCAGAAAGGTGTAATAGGCTTCTTCTTTAAGGTAAATCCAACTATTATTTTTTTTGTTGTTTATTGACATGTAGCTTTCTTTGACTTCTCAACATTTCACACCCCTTTTAAATAATGTGTTACATTACAACTACAAACTATTTTTAAAGGGATTTTTTTTTTTGACAGACAACACATGCAATGTATAACTGTGATGTTCAGGTAAAGGATACAAGGTCTTAAAATTGAAACGAAATAGGCTGTGTATATTTTTTTAAGCCCCAATAAGTCAGCACTGGGTAAAGTACCTTTACAATTACAGGTGAAAGTAAGCATTTCTCTACACGGGTTGCACCTCTAGAGAGTGGAGGACACTGCATTTTTATTTTCTCACGTTCCTCTTTGCATTTCTTTTGGGGTTTTTTGGCTTGGACTTTGACTGGGACAGGGTTCCACAACTAGGGTCAACAGATCCCATTTCACCACATGTGGGACAAAGAACATGTTTTTGTGTGACAATGTGGGACATCAATGCATCAAGGAGGTCTTAAACAACTTTAAAGAACTTTAACATTTCTGTTTTGCCCCTTTGCTTATAACATTACTATGCTTTGCCATCTGGTTGATTCAGTAGTACATAAAAACCTGCAATTAAAAACGTAACAAATATATTGCATTATTAAACTTTTCCAAGTTCTCTCACATGAGAAAACAAAGTAATCTAGGAGCTTTCATACTATTTCAAAGTGCCTTAAGTTAACACACCTGACTGTGTATAATCAAACAGAACGGTCAGGTTTATAATTGTTCTTTCAAATATAGTATTTTAATGTGCCTTGTCTCATAATAATTTAACTTTATTAATCTCACATTGGAGAAATTTCATTGGGCGGCACCCAGGAAGCAGTGTGGGGTTAAGAGTATTGTTCAGAGACCCAGAGTCGCAGTCTTTGGGAGTGGGGCTTGAAATCAGAAGCTCAGGATTCCAAGCTCTATGCACTAAACATTAGGCCACCACTCCTCAACTCTGCAACAACATGGAGCAACAACATAATACCAGGACATCTCCAAACGCCACATAAAGAGTTTACTCGAGTAGAACAATATACTTAACCACACATTTAAGTAGAACATGCACTGAATTACTGTAGGTTACATTTCTGAAAAAAACAAAACCCATTCAGCTAGGAATCACACCCTGTAGATTAACTGCATAAAAGAAATGTTTTTGGAAATGATCTTCATTTACTGGACATTGTTAACCAAAGAAAAATGAACAAAACCAAAAATATGACTCAAAACTGGTCAGAAGGAAACAAGAACCTAAATGAAATAAAACATTTCTTCAATTTTTCTCCATCATAGTAGAAATCAGTGCTCTTCCAGCACCAAGGAGAGCGCCTGGCTGATTTTTTTTTTCTTTCTTTTTTTATGTTTTGTCAGTCAAACCTCTTTCAGTTCTCTCCATCACAGACAATGCACTTTCAGCACCACAGAAAGCACCTGCCTGTGAAACACAAGAAAAGAGCACAGTCTTAAAATCTAGCACCACTCTGGCTCAGTGCTCACAATATTCTAATCTATATCTTAGACAGCTATCTTGCCTTAGATCTTCTTGGCTTTATACTGCTCGCTTCAGATTGTAGCTTCTAATAAGGCCTTCTGCTTAAATGCAAAGCTGTAGAATTCTTTGCAACTGTATTGCAAAGTTGCAAAGTTGGTCTTGACTTGAGTATCCCTCTTGATGAGCTCCAACAGCGATGGTTCTTCTGCTCACTCTAGGCTGCAGTCATGTGGGAAAGCATTCTCTCTAAAGTTGCACTGGTTGTGAGGATGCTGAAGAGAAGGGATGCAAAAGCAGTCAGATTCGATACAGTCTTGTAGAAGTTGGAAAAATCATGTTTGATTGTTTCTGCCTTTTGGTCAAGAAACTGTTGGACAATAGCACTGGTCTTCATTCCAAAGAAGGAATCAATTTTTCGGAGCTTTGTCTTGAGAGTGAAAATTATGTCATATACCTCACAGATGGTCCTATCCTGTCCCTCCAACAGAAGCAAAACATCATAGAAGATCTTCACTATCTTATTGTTATTTGTTAATGTTAAAGAATTAGGAAAGGTTCAAGGGAGTTGTTCTAGGGCATTGCATGTTTGATCTGCATCATGTGTTGTTATTTAAAATGTTTCAGGATGATGAGAAGGCAGAGGATGAAATGGCAAAACGCCGTGCCGCCTTCCTCCTCAAACAGCAGCGCAAAGCTGAGGAGGCCAGACTCCGGAAACTGCAGCAAGAAGCAGAAAGTGAGATAAAACGTGATGAGGCTCGGTATGTTCTGGCCAAGATTCAAACACAGAAAGTCCAAAAAGGTCCAACAAATATTAAAGATAATTTTTTTTAACTTCTTGTGCTATTTACTCAAGACGGAAAGCAGAGGAGGACCGTATTCGTAAAGAAGAAGAGAAGGCCCGTCGAGAGCTTATCAAACAGGAGTATCTGCGGAGAAAGCAAGAAGCTCTTATGGAAGAACAGGGTCTCACTAAGCCTCGCACCAGGACCAAACCTCGGAGGAACAGACCCAAATCCATGCATCGGGGAGAAACCAGCAGCCTTCCTAAAGGATCCACAACTCGTAAGAACATCTGTTTCTGCTTGAGTAGTGTCCTGTGTTGTCTTCATTTGTGCATCTGTTTGTGGGCCTGCTGTGTCATCCTGTAAGAGTGTGCATGTGTGTCATGCAGGTGATTCTCTGAAGGTGTCAATGTTAATCAAAAACCAGAGTTCAGGAGCAGCCTGCAGGGGAGGTGAACTTTCCTACCTGCTCTGCATGACATCTATCAATAATGCAAACTGCAAAGAAAAGAGATTTCATCTGTATTTTTTTAAGTTTGTCCATAGAATAAAGATGATATTTCTTATATATAGGCATGCTTTTTTCAATCCATATTATTATTTTTTTTTGTTTAATTAATAAACAGGGTTTTATGAATCATTATGAATTAACAATATTTTGTGTGGCTTATCAAGTAAGGTAAATGCTTGTTTTAAGATACAAGTAGTGAAAGTAACTGGTAATACCTTCTTCTCGCTCCCTTATTAGCTGATCTGAGCTTCAGTCATCGAGGATCAACACTGTCGTTGGTGACTGATGCAGACAGCGTCATCTCTGGTGGGGCAGACTCAAACAGGTGACAACTTGTGTTTGTAAATGCACTGATCAGATTTAAAATCCTGCATCTCTATTTACATATCTATTTTTTATTTTTTTTTATACATATTTACAAGGGCTGCATCTGTGTGTTCTGTGGATTCGTTCCCTATGCTGAGCAGGGCATCCAGCAGGAACATGGACCGAGACTGGGAGAGCGCTTCCATAGCCTCATCAGTCATTTCAATGGAGTACAGTGGTGAGTCAGAAACAAAAAATGACAAGACAAAACAGCTTTTTTTTTTTTTTATTCATCCTCACCTGCTGCCAGAAGATTTTCCCTAAATAAATACATTGATCTACTACCATTCAAGAAATAATCCCGTAATATTTTCACAGTAACAACACTGTGGCAAGCCATTTTGATATGTACAAATTTTACTGAATATGTATTCCTGATATAAGAAAAAAACATTTTTTCTTTGTCTACAGTAAATGACCATTTCATGCAAACTGATATTCTCCACATCTAGAATAAACATTCTTGATGTCTAGAAATTTATTTCAGATCTCCATATTCCTAAAATTACTGGTCAGCATTTGCATTATTTTATTAATGAACAAAATTATTTTCAGATATCATAAGTACATTTTCAGTCAAGCTGATACATTTCAGAATGGCCAGTTAAAATGTGTAAACATTTCGAGATATATAAAATAAATATTTTATTAGTACAACTTAGTTGTTGTTTTTTACCGTCTAAAATTCAGTTTCTGCTACAAAAATGTAATTTAGAAAATAAATTGTTACAGTTAGGTCTAGGAGTGTTATTTTAATCAGGAAAAATCTTATTTTAGTGACCCTCAAAAGGAACAACAGTGAGGAGAGTTCTTTTAATAAATGGTAAAACGGCCACTTGATATAAACTTAAGCATTAAATGGTGCAACAGTCTTCTCCTTTTCCTCTTCCTCTTTGTAGCTCTAGCACTGCTTCTCTGTCCTATAAACACATTCTCATCTTTTATTTTAGTTTTTTACATTTCTGAATTAAAATCTCTAGTTGTAGTGGGGTGAAATAGGCTCTTCCTGTTGCCTGTTGTCATGGTTCGCACGTCCTTAACTCTGAGTGGACCTAGTTAAAATTGATTGAACTTATTGATAGCAGCTGTTGTGATACAGAACACTCAGAGTTCCCGACTTTAGGCTAGATCAATTTAGATTTGCGGATATGAATCTGAGTTTTTACACCTGCTTCATGAAATGGACCCCTGGTCAAATAAATGACAACAGAACACAATCAAACCCATTCTGGCTGTTTAAATGAAGGTTGCTGTTAGCACAATACAAAATCCTCTTAACAGGCTGGTTGGACATCAAGTGGTTGTTAAGATCAAGGTGAACGGAGATTTAATTTTATCTCTTTTTTTGTCCTTTTGGAGAATTGATGTAACAGAATGAGAGTTGAGAGATTTTTGTAGCCTTCCTGCTGTAGAGGTTATTTCCCACAGCTGTGTTAGAGAGCAGTCACTGTTAAATAGAATAATCATCAATCTTTATTGTCAACTACAATTTGCATTGTAATCGAGATTACCGTTTCAATTAAAAAAATAAAAGAATAAATAAAAAATTAAATACCTAACAATTCAAAATAAAGGCAGTATGAAAACTTTAAACTGGCTTTAGCATCTTATCAATTTGAACAATTAGAGTTGCTAACGTTATGAAAAAAAGCAGTTTATATGTCAATTTCTAGAGAATAAACAACTTTTCTTTGGGGTTTAAAAACACTGCTGATGTTTGGAAATCTATAGACAGTTTAAAACAGAGAACCTTTGCTGTAATGTCTTACTGTTACATGCTCAAAGTCCATACATCCATCCATTTTATTTACACGCTTAATACCAAGTGGGGTCGCGAGGTGTGCTGGTGTCTACGGGTGAGAGGCGAGGTTCACCCTGGTCAGGCCACCAGTCTATCACAGGGCAACACAGAGACAAACATTCACACACAAACTCACACCTAAAGAGAATTTAAAGAAGCCAATTAACCTAACAGTCATGTTTTGGACTGTGGGAGGAAGCTGGGAATTGTACCCAGAGCAGTGCTACCCACTGTGCCACTGAGCAGCCCATCCTATAAGTCATGCTCTCTAGCACTGCTTCAATATGTTGGAAAACACAAACTACTTTCAAACAGATTCTCTTAACTCTCTCCTTCCCCTGACTTAATTTCAACAACCCATGAGTTCAGTTTAAGCTTTTCAAACAGTGATAACATCTACACTGAAGGGCTTTATCTTCAGGGTGACCTGATGCAGTCAATAAAAGAAACTTGGGTTTGTGAATTTCCAAATTGCTGGTCACTGCTCAGTTTAGGCAGATCAAGCAAAAAAATTAACCTTAGCCATTTATGTTTTCCATAGCTTTTCCATGGACTAGATTGTTAATAATATCAAACTTCTGATCCAAATTATTGAGGAGAGTAATTCAATTTTAATTTGTGTATTTTTTTTGTGTACAGGTCCTAAACTCTTCAAGGAACCAAGCTCCAAATCCAACAAGCCAATCATCATCAATGCCATCGCCCACTGCTGCCTGGCTGGGAAGGTTAATGAGGTTCAGAAGAACGTTATCCTTGAGGTCAGTGAAATAAAACAGAATAAATCTAAGCTGTGCTCACAAAGCTTCCTGCGTTTTGTTTGATTTTCTGATCATGTGTGTTTTTGTCTCTTGTTATTATTTCCAGGAAATGGAAAAGTGTGAATCCAACCACCTCTTCATCCTCTTCCGCGATGGCGGGTGTCAGTTTCGAGCCATTTACACATACTCACCAGACACCGAGGTGATCGTCAAGTACACGGGCACAGGGCCGCGCACCATCACCGCCAAGATGATCGACAAGCTGTACAAATACAACTCAGACCGCAAGCAATTCACCGTGATCCCCGCCAAGACTGTGTCCGTTAGCGTGGATGCTCTGACCATCCACAACCATCTGTGGCAGATCAGGAGACCAGGGAGCGCTCGGAGAAAATGAGCAAAAATGACACTGTTTGTGTTTAATAAGCTACAGTTGGGCAGGACCCAAAAAAAGTACAAACTTGAAGAAGATTGATGGGATTAGAAGGAAAGTTAGATGATCTATGGCAGTGTGAGTATTTAGCACCCACTAACTCACTGTACTCTGTCTTTTCAATTCGTTACCTTTTATTATGCATGGTACACCTATTTTAATTTTATCATAATCCAAAGCCACCTACCGTAGTCTTGTCCCGCAAAATCTCCTTCCAGAAGCAAACATGCTATGCTACTGATGCAAAGTGCAGCTTTAGGCAGGCTGTGATGTACCAAGTCAGGACTTTAAAGTTTGTAAACTCAGCTTGGCATTTAAAAGCAAAAAAAAAAAAAAAAAAAACAACAACTACCGGTAGTTGGATTCCTTCACACTGGTACCTACTCAGACGATGAGCTTTGAGCATACGGATGGGTTGAATATTAGCAGTATTGGTCTAGTTTAGGGTGTGTGCAGAAATGAATGATTGTGTCAGTAAGGGTTCAAGCATTGCTTTAAATTGTTATTTTATTTTGTTAATTTTATTCAATATTGAGTCTCTTTGTTGTTAAAAGTGAAACCAGGACCAGTAACATTGGTTTCACAGTAAGGGAAATATTCTACTATTCATCCTACACATAAAGCATTTTTTCAAATTATACCATCTCTCTGTGAAAATCCATTAATCAAAAGCAACCAAGTTATGTTGCCAAGCAGACGGCTTTTGCTCCTATTTTGTTGTCTGGTCAGGCATTAATGTTTGATGCAGCCTCGGTGGCTCAGCTATTTCCTGCTGATGAGCAGTTGTCAGTGTTTGGTAAAATGTTTGGAAAAGAAACTGCACTATACTTGATATATTTGTTTGCTGCATTTTGTACATTTTTGAACAATATTTTCTGTACATTATTTACAAGTTCTGTTTAATAAAAAAAAAGTAGGCACTATTTTAAAGTTTCTTATGTTGGAGAGATCTTATGTCTGATAATTTCAGTTGTATATTTTATGTTTATTTATTTATTTTAAAGAGATATAATAAAGTGCAACAAGACATTTTTCTTGTTAAAGTTGGACCAGTTGTATCAGTTCTTTATAAACCAAATATATTATCTTCTTTCTTTGCAGGTCTCTCAGTCTTAGTATTATCATACTTTTTTATTCTAACTGCATGTGATTGTAGTGTATGTTTGTAAAGGTTGTATTGTTTCAAATACAGCTAAGAGTTAAAACAGTTAATTGAAATGTAGACAAAAAGAAAAAAGCTTTTACTCAATCACCAGGTGAAAAGATTCTTGTAAAATATTTTTCACATCCATTGCGTAATCGACCAACACATAGTAGTGCATAATATCAGGTGGAAGGAAAATCATCCAGTTTGTCTTTTATAAATAAGACAAAGTGGGTTTATATCTGTGTTATGAAGCTGTGATAGTGTCAGAATTTATACTAAATGTCTGGTAAGGCACTTTTGTTGCTCTTTTGTTGCTCCAAAGCAAGTTGGTTGGGATAATATATTTTATATAAGACACATAGTTACTCTCTTTATAATTTCTTAAAGGTCATTTTAGATAATGTTTGAAACAATATTTATGTATCCATCCATTTTCTCTTACTTAGTCATGTCAGGGTCGCCCATAGACTGCCTACCTCCGGCAGTCTATGAGCGAGATGCGGGGTACACCCTGGACAGGTCGCCAGTCTGTCACAGAAACATTTATGCACTTTTTTATAAATATGAAGAAATCTCTGAAGTGCAAAGTAACTGGTCACAAAATAAAACTGTTACTCATCTCAAACCCTTCAAAATTGGTGTATATGTAACATGCTGACTATATATGATAACAAAATAGCAATATGAGCATTCTTTACTTTTTATTTTTTCAGTAATCAAATACTGTTTATTGATCATTTATAATCATTTCTGTGAAGCCATCGGATCAAAATGAACAGAGTATAAAAGGAACACACAACTCAAACCACTCTATGTATTTTCGAGCACTTTAATGTGCACAGAAAGCTATGTTTAAGTACAAATTGAGTCAACACTGAAATGGAAAAAGAGATACACACTTTAGTCAAGCAATCACAACATGGCGCTTTAACATTATAGTAGGAGAAATAGGCATGGACCCCTTTACAGATTCTTACTGCATTTACATAAATAAAAAATGTATAACAATTAAACTGTTTACATTTAAAACAGGGAAGCAGTCATTATTTTGTGGCTAAAATAATATATAGGTGGCTATGGTTACAGTACACCAAACATATCGGTTATATATCCATTTTCAGGTAAAGCTTTAATAGAGATTCTCTTGATCTAATAAGAGTTTGCTTAACGAGTTAATTTTAGCTTATTAGTCAGACAGGCTAACTGCTTTGGCAGCCTGCTGCTTAACATGCATGCCACTTATAAGACTGACTGCTGGATTTCTCTCCTTCAAGGTAAGGAAAAGAGAAGTAACCTACTTTAACAAGCCAGCTGATTGGCGATGCACAGATAAAGATGGTCACCTAAATATTTCAGATCAAGTAAATTATAGTATGTAAACTAAATTTTTATAAAAAAAAATTTAGCTTTAGTTTTAATAACAGAACCAAACTTATTTACTGGCTGACATGTAGAATCAAGACGGTACTTAGAATTTGAAATATAAAGCAATTTATAAGGTTTTGGGGCTTTGGAGAACCATGGTGAGAACCATAAACTACAACTGGAGACAAAATGAAATAAAGGGGAGGATTCTCAGGGACTACAAAATTACTGCAAAGCTGAAACTCATCAGAAGGGTCGCAAAAAGAAGGACAGCTCAGGCCCGGCAGGCCTCGATTGCCTCAAGGTCTGTGTTGTTTAGTTTGCAAATGTAAGAAAGAGAATGGAAGTTCTATGGATGGCAAAGTTCTAAGGTCAAAAAGACTGCTGAATGAAACAAACACAAAGGACCTGTCTCACAAAATTCTTGATTGTCCCCAAAACAGGGTAGAAAATATCTGTATCTATCTATAAAAGAGAAATGTTGAATTTTTTGAAAGGTGCAAGTTACTTTTCAAGCCAAAGTAATATAACATTTCCTAACAGCTAAAACCATGTATTCTAATATCTAACAGACAATCCTGAGGGAGAATGTTTATTAGTTTGAAACCATTAAGGCTGAATTAAAACATGTCTGCTAAGAGGAGGGCGTCAACATTCCTCTGCAGTGGTGTAAAAGACAGAATACCGGCTATTGAAAAAGGTAAGGTATAACTTGTTGCTGCAAAGGTTGGTAAACCTTAAAATGATTTTCTCCATTAATGAATGAAAACACAATTCAAAACAGCTTTTGAAATCACAGCAGGTTTCATAGTACTGGCGAGATCTGCAGACATTTAGGCCTCTTATTTAAAGGACTTACATTTATAGAAAATATTTCATGGGAAATAGTTTCGATTCTCTAAAACATGCACGACACCAAAGAGTGCATGCCCAAACCCACAAAAGAAAAAAAAAAAAGAAAAAAAAGCACAACAAAAAGTACTTTAGAATACTAAAGATCAATCTCAACCTGTTAATAAAGCTGCAGAGTCCTCAGGAAAATAACACTTTAAACCAAGGAAACAAACATAGAAATAACTAGCATCATTATATACATACATAACCCATTAACATAGTCCTTATTGGCACTAATTAAATTAAATTAAATTTTAGCTACAAAATAAACATCTGAAACTTTAATGCTCATTTTTATTTAAGTCACTTAGGGTTGTTTGAGTTTAGCAGACTTTTAAACAGACAAATGTGTCAACCATGGAAAGTCAAAAGACAACTTAAAGCCTAAATATTTTCGATTTTTTTTGCTGAGAACTGTATAAGCAGATGTCTGTCATTGTCTTACTCTCCTGTGGTACCCTATGTTTCAACAATGTAAGTCTTAGGTAAACTGTAGATACACATCTAATAAGTCTACGGTATTTAGACTTGATGAAGCTTTTGTATGTACAGCATTTGAAGCAAGATGAGTAAAATTGCAAACATGATATCCAATGGGATCAGACAGGCAGTAGGCACTCACATTATACATTTGTGGGTTTCAACACTAAAGGAACCAAAGACCAAATTGTCTTCTTTATATTCCAACTGAAAGGAGGCCATCTCGGTTAAAAGTCAGCATTATGTCAGAGTGGGGTGTCCTCTCTGGACTCCTGTCTCTCTTTTAGGCTACTGCTGTGGACGGGCGGCTCATCTGGAACGTGCGCCAGAGGGTCAGAACGTATCAAATATCTGTGAGAGAATAGAGATGTTAGCAACAAAAACATTACTTTAACTCCATCATCGATTCTTTAGTTTCTGACCTTTAAAAATAAAAAGGTAAAGGAAGATCAAACTGAGATATTTTTTTATTTTATTTTTTATGAATTGTTGAAAAATAGATACTTTATGGTAATTAATAATGTTATTCTGCTTGTATAAATCACTGATGAGAATGGGCTGTGGAAAATAAATGTTTAAAACGCAAATATGCATGAATTTTCAGCAACAACAAAAAAAACTTTGCTAAATGTTGATAAGTATGGCTCATTTTTGCTAAAAGTGGAACTATTGTAGCAGCTTATTACAGTAAACTTGCTTGCATCCATAATTACAACAAGTAAAGCAATAAAGCTTAGTCTGCTTATTCATAAGACATTAATGCAATGATATACATACTCCAAAAGCTGCAAAATGCTTTGTTCCTTGCTGCTACTAAAACAACTGTCAGAGTCCTCATCTCCTTAGTTCCTATTATGAGATTTATCCTTACAAATTAAACTTGAAACACTAGGAGGAGCCAAAGGAACACAATTTTACAAGAAATTCACTTTCTTATTTTATGTCAACAGGTCATTTTAAAATTGATCATATTCCTTTTTACATTTTATTTTATCACACAAGAACCTCAAATTAGTGCCTTTTTGTCCAAATTGTATGTGACTGATCAGCACAAGGTGGTGAATAATCAGGAAGTTACAAAGAAAGAACATGATTTTACATTTTTGTATATAATTATAAAAAGTGGATAGTATTAGTCACACAAGCAGCCAAGTGGCGCATGCGATTTTACATTTTAGGAGGTAGAATGTATCAAGACAACTTTTCTCTTCTTTATAATGAGGAGAGAAAACCATTGGTGAAATCTGTCTTTAGGAATCAGGGTTTACATTTACAACAAGTCAACTTTTTGGTCAACATGCAAATTGCAATATATGCGGAAAAACTATCACTAGATATCACCCTGGCAGCAGGTAAAACATTTTTCTCTAGATAGGTATAACTAGGTGATATACTCCAAAGATCTGTTCAAGATGGGACTGTAGTAGAAGGTATTGACTTTAAAGGGGTGAATACAATCAGACACCATGCTTTCCAGATTTTAGTTTGGGAAGAAACTAAATATTATATTTTATTTCTGTCTTACCTTCCGTGTGTTTGTGTTGGTTAATCAGACAAAAATCCCAAATAAAACACATTTAAGTTATGATTGAAAAGTGAATTTTTAAATAAAAAATTTCAACTGCTGTGAATATTTTTTAAGTCATGGCAGTACACATATATTTGCAGGGTAGTGCAACCAAAAAACATATAATGCAAAAAAGAAAATAAACACTGTCGTATTTACTTACACAATGTCATTGATCTCCAGTCTGGTGTCATGAGAAGGGTTGATGAGTACATAGGACAAAGTGTTCTGGTGGTCATTCTGCTCATCTGAAACAAACAAAATCAGTCCAAAACGGTCCTATCTTCTGTATATTGAAATCTCTAAAATGTTTTACCTTGTAAATATCCCAAATTGACTCTGTTCATGACATCACTGGCTGTCAGATTTGTCAGATCATCTGCATTTAAAAAAAGGAACAGACATATTGAAGAATTAAACATAAAGTCTTAAATGTAATGGTGATGTAGAAAAGAAAAACGTCCATAGTTACCGTATCCAGAGGTGGGAAGGCCCAGATGCCTCATACGGTTACGGACCAGCTCAGACAGCTCTTCCCTCTCAGAGCGTCTGTAGAGGTTAAGACGCTGCTGAGCTATGCGCTGCGCGTGGTCTTTACTCGAGTCTCGGCTGCTTCCCTGCCACCTCACGCTTTTCTTACTGAGACGCCGTGCCCATTGCATACTCTTCTTCCTCAGCAGGGGGTAATCTGATGGGTCATTGCTGCGAGACTCGTCCCCTCTTTCTTTTGTGTCTTCACAGTCGTCTACACTCATTGATACCTGGGACTTAATAATGATGTAAGACTTCAACAATTTCCTCTGAACCCAGTGGTCATATGTTGGTTTACTTTGATATAATCTCACCTCTGAAGTGGTGAAAATGTGGGACTCTGTGCGATAGATGCCAATGGGAATTTCAGCACTAGAGGAGCAAAGTTTTTGGAAGAGTCTCCCATAGGTACCAATCCATAAATCCTCTTCTGTTATTTTCATCTGAAAAAAAAAAAATCAACTTTAAAAAAAGTTTCTTCAATTCAACTGTGTTTTTCTGTATATAACTGTACTTTCTACAAAGAAACTTGCAAAACTATTCTAATCCTTTATTTTTACCCATTAAACCACAGGTCAACCATATGTTTAGTTAGATTTTATGGGATTGCCCTAAAGTGGTCCATATAAAGAGGAAGAGAAAGGGACAATTATGGAAGTAGTTTAAGTAGAAATCCTTTGTAGAAAGAAGAAGTCTCATTTCTAGTTCGACTCAATCAATTCCATAAACATGATGGTGGTAGCATCATGCTGTGGGAATGCCTATCTTCAGTAAAGAATGACAAGCTGGTCAGAGTTAAAAGGAAGCTAGGTGGGAATAAATACATGGCAACTCTAAATGAAAATGTTAGAGGCAAAAAATTGAGACTGATAAAGCAGTTTACCTTTCAATTAGACAAAGACCCAGTGGTTGGAAAAATCTATTTCCTATCACAACGTTAATTACGAGTCTTCAGAAAAACTCTATGAAAGTCGGCTCCCCTCCTATTTAAGCCTGTTTTGTTGAAATATCCTTGATGACTGAGAATTTGCAGGGGTATGAATACTTTTGCAAAATATTTGTGACTCACAGCACAAAGGAAGCCTGATCCAGGAGTGGTGTCCAGTCCCAGCAGCAGTCTAGCAATAACAATCATGTAGTCCTTTACAAAAGACTGAAAAAGAACCATGTAAAAAACTGTTCAAATTGTTTGTTGATTTTAATTATAGCTGACAAAATAAAAGCATAGTATAAAGAAAAAGTGTCCAAGCAATGCTTTAGTAACTGGGCACAAGAGGGCACTTCTGACTTTTGTGAGGTGCAACATCTTTCTCTGTTGATGTGAAACACATTCTAATACCTGGTGTTCAGGAGAGGGAGGCTGCATGTTGGGTTTTAGTTGCCTACCAACCTGATAGAGGAGGGTATCCAACATGCTGATGCTGAACACTCTGCCTGCAGCGAAGGGCAGGCGAAACATGAAGGCCAGGTTGGAGCCTTTGTCTCGCTCTTTCTGTGCAACATGGAAAAAATCAGAGTCGCTAAATTATAATTCACCATGCAGTTCATACAAGGGTAACCTGCTTTCCTGACCTTTTCCAGCTTTGACAGAGCCAGCGAATAGCAGTCCTTTGCTCTGAACTGCATGAACCTCATGTTGGATGGATGTGTAAGCTCAGTGATAATACTGAGACTTGGAAATAGCCTGAGGTTTTAGAGGTGAAAGAATTAGTGCATGTGGTGTTACAGTACATCAACTGAACACTGATTTATGCATATTATCCCATTCAACTGGTACATTTATTTTACCTGAACATAGTTTGTACATTGACAATAGTTTTTGCATCAGCCATGTAGTCCTCCTCTGCACTCATTGTACTCTCTTTATCAACCACAACCAAGTTATCCGCATATATAATTCCACACTGGAGCAGACTGTCCAGACTGCAACACAGGACAATTTTCCATTAATACAACATCTGAAAAATATCTAAGCATATATGTTGAAATGATTGAACAAAAACATGAAATATTTTTGAAAAAATGAAAATATATTTTCTGCTACTATCTTACTTGTCTATGGACCCAGCCATGTAGTACACCATTGGGAAACAGCAAATGGCTTCCAGGAAGTGATTATCAGGGCTGTGGGAAGAAAATTGAAAATGGAAATTAGGAACTTTCTTTTTTTTTCTTAACAAAAGATTTGTTGCACAGACTCAGAATTGAGAAATATTTATTATGTTAAATATCCAGAGAAAGCCTTTGAGGAAACAAAGAAGTTGATTCCCACAATAGGAGTTGTCTTTTGTTTCTTTTCTTTGTCTCTGCTACTATTCATCTGTGCTGTTTGTTTCTCGAGTCAAAATTTACATTTTCAGTTTTAAGAAATATGTATCGAATTCAAACAAAATTTGCTAAAGTGTATAGTGTGGATAAAGGCAATTCCAAGTTATTTTAAACACAGTCCCTCACTTCATTTAACTCCTTATACCTGTTGTGAAAGTACTGTCCTTTTTCTGTGTGCGGATATCACTCTGTGTTAAGTGTTTCATAGGCTTTTAATACGTTTTTTGCTGCCCTATGTCAATCTGGGTTTTCCCTAACAATGAGATCCAAAAGTAAGTAATAACTTGGAAATATTCATGAAATAAATGTCAGATTTTCGTTCTGTTTCAAATGTTCCTATTCATAATTTCACATATTCTTAACTGTTTATATGATTACAGCTGGGACCCCTTAGATGAATGCAAGATGTTTAGAATTAAAGCATTTGTGACACCTGCCAATCTTTTAAATGTGTCTTTTCGCAGGAGAATGATTGAAATCCAAATGTTCATCTGGAGGCGGCTCCTTCTTATAGCTCTGTCATAAAAGGGACAGATGGACCCAATATTCAAGGCGAGTCAGACAATTGGAAGTTTCAAATCATTTTTTGACATAAAATAATGAAACAAACAAAACGGGACACGGGCTGCTAAGGACAAGCAGACCACAGTGGCTGAAGGAAGGGGCGGAGCACCGCCCAATCACTGACACTCTGGAGGGAGAAACACAGGTAAGCGACCACAATCATCTGACAGTGGCTGAAATCTAGCCGACATGCTGTCCAAAGTGTCCCCAATGCAGCAAAATCAGTGAGCAGGCAGGAGGCTGATCCAGATCAGAGAAACAATTCAAAATCGGACAATTCCGAGATCAAGGAGTCCGTAGCCCAACCAGGGGTTCAGATCAGACAAGGAACAGACAGATCAAGGGTTCCAGGAATCCTCAGAGCATTCAGGCAGGTTAAGAGTTCTATGAGTCCAGCAGTGTGTCAGACAGACACGCTCAGATGAAGATAGGCAGGCTCAGTGGAAGAGACGAACATAGACAAGACTTGGTACCAGGATAAATGCCGAACTTTAAGCTGGTCTCCACCTTGGAACCAGGGTTACAGGAATTTAAAACTGACCTCCCCCATGTACCTCTCCCGTGTACCTCTCAATCCACTGGCTTCCGGGGAGGGGAATATGAACCAGGGACTTAACCAAAACTAATGAAGCAAACATGAATGCTGACATGAAAACATAACACAAATAAAATAAGAATACATTTATAAGTAACACGAATACCAACGAATAATGATCTGGCCCCGATAGCTGAGCTGAACAATATATACGGCAGCAGGAGCAGGTGACTAAGATAAGTGATAATTAGAGAGCGTCGAGGCAATGGCAGGTGAGTGGAGTGAGTAATTAGATCAGCTATCGGGGCTGCGATCATGACAAGCTCTCCTCGACAGCCTATCAGTTTAGATGAACAGGAGTGTTTTGGTTGATATGCATCTGTATCGTAACCTTTTTACTTTTTGAATTCTAGACTGAAAAGTGTGCTGTCGTATGTTCATAACTTGAAATATTAGTTTATATCATAACATTACATTAAACCTCTCTGGTAATACATGATTGATTTTCTATGTTGGTTGGTCTTTATGTTTACCAATATAACACAAAAATAGAAGAACAGATGGATTTATACTTAGATCATCTTCAACAAAGGAAGGCTTTGTTGAATAAATTGATGATTTTTCAAGGCAGCTGGTTTCACATGGTTTCATTTAGAGGTATTAGAAAATCTTATACATTAAATCACATTTTCCATTGAATGTTGGGGTTGCAATGAGACCAAAAAAGGATCAATGGATATTTTTAAGGCACCAACATTTTCAAAAAAAAACATCCTAAATAAATCAACATGCATTTTTATTTCATTGCTTCTTCAGACAGGAGTCGAATTCTGGAACTATCCTATCCTGCAGCAACTCGCAGACTCTTGGAAGTTGCTGTGTATTAGCTATCTCATTGGTTAGAGTCACTCCGGGCTGAGGGAAAAGACCATCTGGAGCTGAACACACTTAGAGAGACATTCAGACACTTAATCAGAGTCTGTCTTCTTCCACCTCCTTTGACATTGCATTGCATTTTGCATGTTCCCAATCCTGCTGACTTGAGACCCAAGGCTGTTGTAAGTGATTGAATTCCAAATGCGTGGGTGTTTGCATTTGTGTGTGCAAGACTGCTGGAAGGGAGGGAGCATAGAGCAACACGCAGGGAGCATTTATCGGTATGTATGTGTGTTTCTATGAGAGTTCTTTCAGCTTGCATGTGGGGGCTGAAAAAGGGACAAATCGGGGCTCTTCATGAAAGTTAGCACTATCAAAAGAAATCATTTTCTCCTCCTGTGGCAATGTATATCACGCAGGTTCAAGGCACAGCAAGTTTCCATGGTTACTGTCTGGTGGAACAGAGACTTTTTTTCTTCCTTGTCACTAAAAACACAAGTAGCAGTGGTAATCTAATATCAGGAATAACAATGGAGTCCCACCTCCACAGCCTTGTCCTAAGTGCTTGCTGACGTGAGCCTTTCAGCAATCATAATTTTTCCCAGCATGACACGGCGGAAGTCTGAGTGAAGCGAAAAGCAAAGGAACAGTATGTGTGTGTTAAGAACTTACGGGTTATCCAGCAGCAAGACAATGGGGTTCAGCTCCTTTCTAGCTCTGTAATAAGCTCTGAGAGGCACTATGAAGTTATAGAGACCGTTTCCTGCAGTCTCAGCCGACACAATGATCAGCTTGTTCTTAAAGCCATATGCCTTAGCATCCTCAAAGCTGTTGTGCATACAGCCCTGCACAAGGAGCAAAAAGAACAGGTGAGATATTTTAGGTATACTTTTACAATGTAAAGGACAGAGAGAGGACAGGCAATGATTGAACCAGCATGTAATTGAGTGACTAAGTTGAAGGAAAAATGACTGCCCACCTGGTCTAATCGTAGGCAGCAAAATGGTGCTTTTTCAGCCAACAGATGGCACAAGGTGGGCGAGCTCCCAATGTACGGAGAGTTGGGAGGATAACCTTTCACATACCTGAAAACAAATCCAGAAGGAATGAATGATGCATTTCATCAGAAAAGATTCTGTAAAATATTAGATTTCAGAAAGGCCAAGCTTGTGACCGGAGAAGACATAATATTTCTGATATGTAAACATTTTTTTATTTTTCAATTCCGTTAGATATTCAAGTTATAATGTAATGGTAAAGATGAAAGTCTTTGTTAAATACAATATAGAAGTCTTAGTCTGTAATTTTTTTTATTGTATGCCTTTTTTAAACCTACATTCACGAAAATCCTACAGTAAATGTTTTAATTTTGAAAGTAGAAACACTGACTTTTTTGTATATCCCTGCAAAGTCCCTAAAGTATAATTTAAAAATGTCACTAAATCAATTTCTGTGCTGAAAATAAATCATGTGTGTCCTTTATACACCGTTATATTGAAATTGCTTTTTTTCTAGATAATTTGATGACACCCTGTCTCCTCACATAAAATAAACATTCAAATTTGGAACTGATAATTTCTTTTATTTAAGTGAGCAAATATTCTGAACCAGCAGGGAATCAAAATATTACTACCCTCACTGTAACAGGAAGATTGGTGATTCTGCTGTTCTTACAAGCCACATCATATCAAAGAAATTTATATCTTAGATTTTTTTTTTTATTTTATTCCAATGTAAGTATAGCTGCTATTTTAGAAATTGCA